AATACAACAGTTCAATCTATTAAATAGATGACATTAAATGTGTTACAGGGCCACACACGACACATCTTCTTTCACCTTATAATGTGCTTATCTCTTCTTTCAAAAGTGTAAATTGAGTGAGTTTATCACAAGATAGACCTAAACATATGATATGGTTAAAGCTATTGACTCTTTACTTACCCATCCAGTAACTCTGAAAATAAACTTCAGTACAAAGCAGACAATTTCAACTATATGCCGAAGATAATATTTCATTTAATAGGTCTGAGCGTTCAAGATGATTTACATTATTAGACGTTTTCTGACGTTACTCTTGTCTGTGAAAATTTGCCAATTCCCAAAACTACATGTTTGGGGGACTATCGACCTAGTTATCGATTATGAAAATCCCCAGTCGATATAGCACTCATACAAAATAATTTGCCATTATGATATTCTGAGTCAAAATTTGTCTTCAATTTAAAACACATTGAGAAAATCATAGACATTGATTACAAGCGAAAATGTGTGAATACAATTTCAGGTATATTTAGCTACAATCGATATATCTGTTGTTTCGATATTTTTACATCAAAACTTAAATAATGTTATTTAAATTAAACCGCTTTTAGCAGCCTGGCATTGAAAAGATTCTTCCTTTCAAATTGTACAAAAAGCATTTACAGACATCAACGTGTTCGTTAACAATATAAAAAATACAAGTATTCATAATTTTCGCATCGATTGAACACTTTTCCGCCAGGAATTAATTTCGAAAGTCAAATTTGAAAAGGAATCGTTTCGCCTGATTGCATGCAGAAAGAAACACGTTAATCTGAATAGAAAATAATAAAAAGAGTGCTGTTTTCACCAGGTATTTTACAAGATATAAATTATATATAAGACTAAGTCAGATTAAAGGTATAATCAGTAGAATGGTTGATAACTCAGGTCGATAATTCATGATGAATGCCGATTTTTTATCGTTAAACATGTTTTGTTACAAGTTAAGACCGTGATCTTTACTTATTAAATAATAGCCTTTGAAATCAAGCCATGTTCATTTCTCAAAGTTTTTAAGAATTAGTTCTGTCATCAGTGAAATGCCATCAAATTCCACAAAAATTGTTTTTGCCTAATCGTAATCGGTCATTAAAGTAAATGCAATGGAGCTCTGCTCAACAAGATCTCCTGGAACACCAAAACTTTCTTCATATCGCTTAACAGATGATTGTCAGCTATAGCCTTCTTTTAAATCGGTCATAAAAACTGATCTTAAAAATTAACCCATTTATAAATCTTAAACTTCCAACATAAATCCTTTTTGTCAATATTTCAAAATGAGTTCAATCTAGATTAAACCTTGGGACAAATCTCAGACAAAATAAGATTTATTGAATATTTCTCACTGCAAATTGTATTAAATATTATATTCTCTCTGTGAAGTAGTTAGAAAAAAGCCGAGAAGTGATATGTTAAGGAAATGAGATTGGCGATATTAGCTACAGATAGAAATCATTTCAATGGCTTTACATCAAAAGAGTTTTAATTTTCTCTACAATTCGAGACATGTAATTTGTTTATAATCTGTTGTACGTTATTTCACTAATTGCCGACAGGGTTGTCAAGACAGTCTCCATACAAAATTTATTGTCCATTTCAGTAAAGCTCCTTGAAAGACCTAATAACATTTATCCAAATAGATTTGGTGATTTCAAGGTAAATTAAATAAACAAGAAGCAATGCGAGAGAGAATTGAAGAGATTTACGAGAAGTTGTTAGTAGTAAAAATAATTAATAATATCAATTAGTACTGACTTTTATATTTCCTTAGATACCTCATTATTAGTAAATTAAATCATACTTATTACTTTTTATCATATCATAATTAAATTATAAAAGTAAAATTAATTTTGATATCATTATTAAAACTATCAAGATTAGAATACATAAAAAAAACATAAACTGGATATCAATCCAAAAAAAACAAACCATATACGACTTCGTCTCAGATTGTATGTTGCACAAACAACAAGAAAAAGTAGGAATTTTCTTCAAAATACAAATTTTCGAATCTCAAAGAAATATTCTTATTTTTATCATTACTTTGATATAATGTTATTTTCTTCAAAGGAAATATTACGAGTGCAAATGTATATAACGTCACCATTCGTAAAGATGATAGAGTAAAAATATGACTCTGCCTTATTGCTAATATACTAGAACTATATGCATGAATGAAACAAACGACTTCTTCTTATCTGGCTTTCTTTGATCGTAGGGGAAACGGAGCCATTATGAAACAAAATGTTAACGTCTTCTCCACTCACGTTATGGTTTTTCATGATATATGAAGCTCTTTCATCTTCGGCATATTGGACCTCACAAGTTACCCCAGATCTTCATTAGATACAGAATATGAATTTTCATCTTTCTAATATGTATCTGATTATTATAAACGAACATAATATTCATCTATAATGTTATTTTCAAATCAACATTGTTTTAATGTTAATTTTGAAGCTTAGTTTGTTAAGTTTTTGTTGATTATAATATTTGACCTTTTCTTGTCTTTCATAACAATCTTGTATCTGAAAATTATAGCCTGCACAAACTTTCAAATAATTATATTCTTTACAGATTAATTATAAACCACTTCTGCACAAACTAAATATTTAGTTGTTTTATGTTGATATAAAGATTATGTTTAATGTAATTTCTATTTTTTTTTTGTGTGAGTTCCATAACAATCTTGAAAAAACGAAATCTACCAAAATGTAGAATTATTCCTACATATTCTTTGAAATTGTTAGCATATTTCTACATCAAAAGGCCCTCATGCACATAATTGCGTCCATTACCATTTCCCTAAAATTTCTCCATAATACCTTCCGATTTCCCATTGCAAACTAAATCAGAATGACCTGCTAAAGTGTTTACAAGGAAATTCATTAAAGTCACAATGTTATTGATATTAAATGTAATGAATTAAGTGACAATGATGGTGTTTTTTTACTTCATAAAATACCAATATATTCTCAAATACCACATAAAAATCGCACAATCCTTCATTTTTGTGATAGACGTAATGGTGTAATGATGTAAGCACGGAATTCAATGATTTCATCCAATCAAATGATTAATTTTTATTCACACCTTGAGGAAGGAAATGGTGTTTAGTTCCGCTCTGAGGTGATTGTTTTAGCAAGATTTAAGGATTAACAAATGCATTTTTATGACAAAATAGCAATTTCAGAGTTCATAAAGAAAACTTTATTGTCTTTGTTTTAAATATATGTATCCGGTGAGACTTGGCCTCGCTTTAAACTAATAAACGATAAAGATGATGGAAGACTACCCTGTTCTAGACTATTGGCTCATAAGATAACTGTCGTTTAAAGCTGATTAGCCCCGGTTATTAGGTCATTTATTCAGATTTTATCCCGTAAAATTTAACATGAAACGAAAATACAAATTAAGCTGTTGGCGCTTGCCTATCAACAGATGGCGTTGTGGGACCTCTAGTCTTCTCGACTGATGCACTCATATGGAAAACAAGACGATCAATTTTTGTAGAGAAAAATGGGAAAACGGCAATATAGTGTTTATTCTATGGCTTTATTCAGAATTTGAATATAAAATGCCGTCAAGGCGAGATACAGGTATTATGTCGGTTTCCTTTGATGTTACTGATCAGTTAAAAGGTGTGAAACGAAGCAAGAAAATTAACGAGACTCTGGGTTTATTCGGATATATTTGCCATTAAAAGGAGCGTAATAAAACGTACCCAGTGATCCCCATTAGCTATAATATTGTATAATATAAATAACCATACATGATACTGAATTATAATATTAGGGATTACCGTGTATTCATTAATACTTCAATATAATTACATGCTGGGTTAACTATTTAGAAAATATATACACCAAACAATTAATAATATATATACACTTTATACATTACATGATTGCTAGTACTCTATTCATACAACTTCATATTTCAAAGGTTGTACATTTTAAAAATGTAATAGCCCATAAACAAGAAATTAAAATTTCATGTTCTAAAATAAAATAACAGATAAACGTTAATTAATCAATCATATATCAATTACAATATTTAAAAACTTCCTTAACACACATTGCACACATGATTTTTTTTCTAAATTTGATCCACATCTATTTGAATATCTATAAATGTCATTGCCTGAAGACTTAAGATTGTAGACCTAAATGTAGATTAAAAGCTAGCGGCGAAATCGTTTGATGTTTTATGATATAGACAAGTGATTAATCATAATAATACCTTTTCTGACCTTAACTTCTTTATTCAAATATATCATCATTCGTCCAGCAAATGATGTCTTCAAAGGCTGTATTGTTTTCATCCAGTCCAAATGAAAAGATGCATAACATGCTACTACTTAAATATTTTGGAATTGGCAAGAACCCTGCAGTATTCCGTAGCAAATGTTGAAACCATTTTGCACTGTATTCATTGCATCATATATTTATATTTAACGGAGATTGTTTAAATAGAAAAAATAGTTTTTTTTAAAAAACTGAAAAAAAAAACTTTTATTCAAAGTACTAATAAAATCAGAAAAAAGGTGAAAACTTCTGACTCGTAAAGCCATTACTTTTGCACTTTTATGCGAGTATTTTTTGCACTGAAATCGGCGGTAAATTGATTTAGATTGTTTGAGATCATTGATTATTGAGTGTAGTAATAGTTAAATTGTTATCAACTCTTGGGTGGTATCAACTACATCATATGTTAACATTCTAGTGATAATGCGCTCAAACAGTTTTTCTCTACTATCAAGGTAAAAATAGTCAATTTTAAAGCGTCGTCTTATTGTAGTATTTTTCATAGTCACGTCATAACATATACAATAATGATATAAATATTTTATTACCACATTAAATTTTTTGCGCCACTGGATCAAAATACATTGAATGTTGATAAGATGTTTCTTTCTATCTTTGCTTTTAACTTTAAATTATACTTTTCTCTTTTCAGAAACAAAAGGCAGAAAAAAGAGGAAGCCCTATACTCGTTATCAAACTATGGTCTTGGAAAATGAATTTTTAAGCAGCTCATATATAACTCGGCAAAAACGTTGGGAGATATCGTGCAAACTTCAGTTATCCGAGAGACAAGTTAAAGTGTGGTTTCAGAATCGTCGCATGAAACGAAAGAAGTTAACGGAAAGAACGAAAGCCCGACATGGCGATGATGATAGTAAAGACTCTACAATTCAACCTAAATCAGAACCTCATATTAGACATTGTACGGCAGTGGACGTTTAAGTCATATTAATTCCTCAAGGATGCTCACTTCCGGTAACAAATAACGCTCATTCAGTCTCACAAAACTTCAAAGTGTGCCTGTGATTGGGTGGAAAAAATAAACATATTGATATAGTTTTAAATTAAATCTCAGGCTCAAGTGATGTAGTTATTTTCTCAGTTTGTTTTCAAATGGGACGAATTCTATCTCAGGCCTGCCCGTGGTGACAGGAACTCGCCATTACAAGAGTTCGCCGATTCATGAAAAATGCAAGGCTTCAACAAACGGTTTGGAGTGAACACATCTTGTGAATATTTTAGTTTCTTCTCAACATTATTTACAATTTGACTGTCGTTCAAGTGTTCCGTCAGTTCAGTGTTCAGTTGACAACTCTTTTTTTCACAGAACGTTCAGAGACTTGCTGTGAATGTTGTGATTGACTCTAATTCGTCATCCAGTAAAGGATTGATCAGGAGATGAAATGATGTGCTAGTCTGTAGTGGAATGAATGAACGGAAGAATGAAAGTATAATGAGTGAATGCTATGTGTTCTTCAAGTATTGTCAAGTATGTGTTTTCACTGTTAATATAAGTTGATATGTACATTTATAGAGAAAATTGAATATAGTATCCATTGTAGGCAGTATTACCCATATTTTACAAATCAACCACAGTTTTTATTGCATTTGATCATAATTCAACCGTGATAAAATTTTCATTCAGTATAAATTCAAAACCAGACATCTTGTCCTGATAAGAGTGGGATTCGAACCCACAATTAGTATTACTGTTGTTTCATTTTGTTTGAATTTTAAGTGCTGAGTATTTTGTTCAAGTTATAAACTGAGTTGTATTATGTCTGTACTGTTTGTTTTGTTATGATATAAGTTTAGTGCTACATGGCAATTGTATCATCCAGTATTTTGAACCGGTTTTTGTATGTATGAAAACGCTTACTGTAAATTTCTGGTAGCAATTGCAAAATTGACCAAATTCTTAAAAGTGCAGGATTTTTATTAAATGCCTCACGAATTTCGGCTGAAACTACGTTGGGCATTGTTAAATACTTTCTTTATTTAAGTTGATGAATTAAATTTCAAATTAATGTATACATGTAAAAAAAACATAGGCAAAATAGATGAATTAATAGTCAAATGTAAATCATATTGTGAAGTGTCATGGCACAAGAAATATATTTTAGAATTATTTATGGAATAAAATGCAGATCATAAATTCTGTTTTCTAAAACGGGTGCGCTCGACATTTGTAATTTGTCAAAGTGAATAATAATGTAAAACCAAAATGTCTTTTTTATTTTATAAAAGTAAAGTGGTAATGTATGGCACTTGTGCTCATGGTTCCTAGTTACTAACTTAGTATTAAACACAAATTCTGTATTATTATATCAAGTTTGTTTTCAGTTTTCCTGTAGTATTTTAGTCAAATTGAATTGTGGAATTTTTTATCGGATATTTAATGACGTTATAAATTTTAAAGCCACACGAAAAGATTAATGACTTCAGAATATCTTTGTTCGTATATTCCTTGATTCCGTTTGACTATTAATTACTCTTTGGAATAAGAAATAAACCCGAATTGATGAAAGACTATACAGATCTTGTCTTTTATAATAGTCGATCTCTTCTACCAACACTTTTACAATTTGTCCCGAGTATCCATTTGTCAAGTCATTTCATATTAATTTATCGAGAGAAAATGATAAAATATAATAAATGTGTTGTTATGGAATGAGTTGTTTTTTTACTGTCCGATAAATTCTCGTTTTCGGAAATGGCCCTGTGCAATGTATTGTAAACAAAATGGGCGTTTATCAAAACTTCAAGTGTCATGTAAAGTCGCAGATGAGGGGTTGTCATTAACAACAAATTTTAAGGTAGAAAAATTCGTAAAATATATAAGCCGACCTAACCCGTACTTCGCCCAAACGGAAACTTTTGGAACTTCATAGAGTCAAAAGGCAATCAGTTGTATATGAAACACAATCTACTGTAGTTTTACACTTAACTGCAATTGATAATATTTAAGATGTAGCGTATTGCTAAGGAGGTAAGTATGCCCACATTTTAGGAACAAATGAACATCGCTACTAGTTTTGTTAACCATGCATTCATCCGAAATGCCAGCATAACGAATCTCATTTTTCAGTGTTTTTCAGTGCTTACTGCTGACACAGAGTAGTAATGGCCAAGGGGTGTTCTTTGAGCTTTGTTTTATTATGTCAGAACATACTTTTTAAATCCGAACACATATTTTGACAACATTTCATGAATTTAGATTTGAAGAAGATTAAATTTATGCTAAAGGATGAAATGTTGTCAGTGCATTTATCAATTACATGACATGTATATTTTAGTTATAATTTTATACAATGTTCTTTGTTTTAATGTTATACTGCGAAATTTTTAAAACGCCCCAACTTTACCAAAATGTCAGCAAAAACTTCAACTTGGAATGTGATTTTGAAGCATCGTCGATTTGGTACTATTTTTGATACTGATTTAATATACCTAATAAGCTGAATGGTGTTAAAGTACAATGCGGCTTGTTGTTATTAAAATAGATTTTTAGATACATTCTTTCTAAACTTTATCTTGTGCAACTTCCCCCTTTTGAAACAAATAACACAGACTAGTATTATGCAATTTTTTAACCTAGAAGCAACTTATCTAAAAATTTTCAAATCTTATTTGATGAATTATGACTCATTTATCTTAAACAATATACAGTGATGTGTACAAGTTGTCCTCTAATATTTAACAACTGGAAATAAATAGAAGACTTCACATATACAAGAGGTGTCACAAATTTGATAATGGTTAACGCAATAATTTGACATTAATACTGTTTGACTGTTCAGCTACGTACACATCGTCATACTATTGATGAAAATTAGAGCGTGTATGAACCTCTGAAGGGATGTAGTCGTCTAAATAATTGTTTTCTCGGCTGATACAACTACTGTGATTTTGACTTGACTTGAAATGCATATTGTTGTACGCAGAATTATCTCCAATTATCAACTATATCGAAAATCTCAGGCATCTAATCAGTAAGAATTCAGGTAATCTTAGTTTTACAATGTGATCAGGCGTGGAAGCATTGCTTTCTTACAAAGCCACGTCATGTCAAATAATAAATGGATTATTTGAAATAAAAATGAGTAATATGGTATCAGTGGCCATGTACTATTAGGAAGGTCAAATTTAACAAAGCCTGATTGGCATAAAGCCTTGAGACAATAAGTTATTTGTCTTGATGTTTAGTCTCGTTGCCTTCGGTAGTTATACCGTATAGTTACATGACATGTGAGAAGGAAGAAGCTTTCATCAGCTTATCTCTTTTTCATCAAAAACAGCTTTGACTGGTTAAAAATATGACAGTGTGTAAATTTGTATTCAGGGGTAGCTGGAATCCACCACTAGAAGTTCATAAATACGACATAACTTGACGTGTTTTGTCAGTAGAAAGAAATGAATACAAGTATCCTATCCATGCTTTTTTCTTTTCTGGACAGCTCGCGTGTCAAAGTCGGTGAAATATGGAGATGTGAAAAAGAAAACCCGCTGGCTAAATTTAAAAGGACGAAAAGCTTTCACACTCGTCTTCGCAAATCACTTGTTTTCTTAGTCGCTCTACTTGTTTTAAAAATATGCGTTACCTTTAGACAGTGTCTAATACATGAATTAATTTTATAGTTCTTAAATTGCTAGGTATAGTAAATTTATCACAAGAAAAGCATCAAATGGTCAAAAATAAAGGGAAGATTGGACCTACCCTTGTATCTTATCCACATTACATATATATATATAACGCTGTCCGAATCAGGAAGTATTTACATGTTTAAGGTACTGACAAAGCAAGTGACAAGCAATTTCATTTAAAGTGGGCGCTTTTAGATTCAAGAAATTATAAATATCATTTCGACACAATAGCAGTAAACTTTATACAATTTAAGTCAGTGAGTTATATTGATTCTTATATTGTGGAACCTGTATTGTTTTAAAGAAACAAGAAACAAGAAAGACAACCACCCTTTATTCTACTACAGGTTTGAGGTTTCGCAGTAGTTTTGATGACTCTGATTTTACCAATATATGCTCAACTTTAAACCAAAACTACAGATATGAACTCACAAAGGGGTTCAATAACAAATAAGACAAAGAAAATAACTGGACTGGTTCATGGTTATCATTATGTTTTTATGTATTTTTTGTGTTTCCTGGGTATTACCACATTTGAATAATAATTGAAATTTAAACCTAGCTAAAGACAATATTCATATCAAGTCTTGGGTATAATTAAAGTAACACAATATATGATTATATTCAGTGTCCTTTCAGCCTGTTTATTTGAATATTGGAATAAAAGTTTACTTTATCGATGCCAAATGCAAATCTTCACAACATTTTCTAATTTGTAAATAATCTTTTAAGGTCTGAAGTCGTCACAATTGTCTTAACGTATAAAGAATCTGATTATGACAGACTATGAACACATATGTCTTGATTGTCTTGTTATGTCTCCATTTGCATTATGGATAAATAACAAAATGCTACCTTCTCTATAGCATTTAATATACATGTATATAAGAAGTAAATGGGGATTAAATAAAATTTGTGACATTTTGTGATACTTTAAAAATGCCGAAAGATCCATTCAGACTATACATATAATTGCATTCTTTTTTTTATTTTAGGGGACACTGAATAATAATTACTCTTATGTTTTGTCGTAAGTTTCTGTTAAGTGGATCGTCACGATTTGAGAAAGGACAATTACTTTATGTCTAATTTTGTGCTGCAAGAATTTCACATATTTCTCGGGTATATGTGTATGGTAACTTACATGAACAGACCAAAGCAAGATATACACCTAGGTGTGAATGTTCAACCAAGCAAAACTACAAACTATTGAAAGTGTGAACTTG